GATTTGGCTTTTTGGCATCGCATGTTAATAAAAAAACAAATTATTTAAAGATCCTCAATCTGAAGCCCGCCCCAAAATCGTCCCTGTTTGAATCCGATTCCCTACCAAGCAGCATAATGCCCTCCAAAATTCGCTTCAAAAATAAACCGTTGCACTTTTTAGCGAGTAGCTAGTCGGTCAACCACTTAATGGGCCAGAATACAAAAAAAACACATTCTTCTAGCCTAAAACAACCAAAAATTACGTCCGGATGTAACATTGTGAAATTTACCGCAGCCGTGAAAATCCATTTACGGCGTTTTCAAGGTCGAGCTAGCTGTTTTACGATTCCGCTGTGTTCTCACCTCGAGTATTTGTCGGTTTAGGTGAAGAAGCGTAAAATCGTCTCTATTGGAATCCACACTATAGTAAATCTTGAGGCTTGATCTTACAAGCGTTTTTTAGCGGCACAAATTTATGGGATACAATTACTTCCCGAAATTAATGTACAAGAAAAGAGGACATTCGAAAAATTTAATGTTCCCAGAGGATTTGTCTGGCGGAAACTGTAAAAAGCGGTTCTGCAAAATTGCGGATTCTAATGGGATTATCGCACGCAAAAAGTCTGGATCTGCAATTCCGCAAATTATTATATGCCAAAAAAGGTTCTGGAATCTTCTGGAAACGTACCGTAAACGTGTGGGTTCAGAAAATCAGGGAGACTACACTGGCCGGGGCTGCGGGCGGAATAATAAACTCGCTCACTTTTTCAAGATTCCGGGGATTAGGCAGTAGAGGGGAGGAGGGATACGGTAGGCGGGAAACTTGAAAATTTGCCCCGCAATTTTTTAGAGCGAGTTTGAATATTTTTAGAAAACTTCGGGAGAAAATAGCTCACAGAATGCCAGCTCGGGAAAATATGGAAAATTCACCCTGTATTTTTAGAAAGTATAATCACTCGGTAAAGATGTGATCGATAGCGATCATGGGAAAAACAGTAGTTTCACAGATTTTCCTAGAATGCCCTTTTGCGATTCTAGTTACCGAACGCACGTAGAATCTCGAATCTCCACTTGAGAACGTTTTGCATTCGGGTAGGTCTCGACGGGTCTGCATGTATAAGTGGGGTCACGGCGGAACACGGAGATACTCAAATGAGAACAGCGTTAAATTTTTCAGCTATAGAAGAAGAGAGTTAGACAAAAAAAAACAGGAAACGGGAGGCGAAAAGGGAGCGCATCTAAAATCGACGAAAAAACAAAACGGCAGAGAGAGAGATAGAAGTACAGGGATCAATCCGTATTAGTGTGCCTATGATTCTTTTAGCGCACGCGCTTGTCAAAATAACAGTGAATACCATAGACGGGCACGGGGAATAGATTTCTGACGTGTGTGTTGGTAGTTATGTCGTTTGGCCTTTTCCCTTTGCGTTTTGAATGAGGAAAATCCAAAAGTTTTAAAAAATCTTTCCTGAAAGTACACGCCCAAAGTCCAAAACATAGTGAAAACCTGAAATTCTACCCTTGGCCCTGATATTTTTATCTTGATAAGTCGGTTGAGTGGAATGGCGGAAGTGTAGAAAATTTCTAAAGTCCGTAAGCTCAGCAAAAAATTACGAACGCTACATTCTGGATGCAAGTCCTCTTACGGGACCATCTTCTCGCCAATCTCCGAACGGTGCGCGTTTTTTCAAAGCAGGTCCTCGACCACCCAGTCCTTTACGGTCCGGCGTTCCTTTGATGGAGATGATCATTGGTCTGCTAGCAGGTATGCAGCACTGTTAATACAGCAAAAACTGAGTGGCGGAACTTGGCAAGGATACTGCACCAAGTAGAGCAAGTTCAGAATACGAATAAATATGGCCGCATTACCCTCTATCTAATGCAATACATCTACATTTTGCTGAAAAAATGATGGAGAGGTTTCTAATCGACTCTGTGATGTAGAAGGCGAAAATCTACTCACTGAAAAATCAAATCGAGAAATCGAGACCAATCTTCCAAAAAAAAAACGGGAAATCGCTCGAATCGACTCAGAAACCAGGGAAGAATGAAGCCGCTGGAGTCAAGTTTGCCTGAAAATTCGAATCCCTGATTTCACACCTATATATACCCAAAACTTCTTTGCCCGCACTGGACTTTGGTACCGCTTAAGCTGTCAAATTGAGGGCATTGGCTCATCCTCGGCTAAGCCCGCGGCTCGTGCGCCGATTTCCCAATCGACAACAACAACAACAATAACAGTACCCTTTCAATCCGTTGTTGATGATTTGGGGTACAATCTCGTCTTTCGCCCCTTGGAGTATTAGGCTTTTTATGTTGAGCTCGACCAAATTTTGGTCGCTTACATATTTATCATGCAAAGCTGGTCACGAGGTCTTCACGACTTTGACTAATAAACAAATTTTGTGAAAGGGCCAACAGGACTCTTAGGGTGGAGGGTGTTTGTTGGTTTGGAGAGACGAGAGGAGGATCGGTCTGCGTCTCACAACAAGTTATATTTGTATTCCACGAACTTTTATGGCTTCAGGCTATTCCTCACAGTGCCATACAAAACTTGTACGACTTGTTGCCAAGCTGAATTGCCAACTTTCTAGCATTGCTAAGCTTAGCTCTATATTTTTCGTTTGAAATGACTTGGCAAACTTTACTAACTCCCTTCTTCTACCTATCTACCGTAACCCTGGGATGCCACTCAACCATAGGCAAGTCCCCGATTGGCCCACATTTTTTGGATTTGCAGATTATGGGCCCTAATCCACCCCCATTTAGCGTTCGAACCGGAAATCCACCCCGATATTGTCACGGCGACGCCTACGGAAAGTCAGCAACCACTTCGAAACGTCGTCATAACCCCCGCGCCGCAGATGATGAGGGCCAGGGCCTTCATGGCGGCGAAGTCACGCTGGGTACGGTAGTTCGGAAACGGAAGAGGGACCGGAAAAATCTGTCTTCATCGCAGGTTAAGCTTAACACCCAATGTTGATTCGACAGGGACGGGGAAGACCATTTATAAAGCAAGGGCCAGGGACGGCTAGTCCCTTTGACTATGCATTTACTGTAGATTCGCGACACGCAACGAACGTACCTGATATTTCATGGCGAAATAGATTATTCCATATTTGGGCGTTGCCTGCTGCTTGTGGCAAAAAAAAACATAAATCAAAAAATCAAAGCCCTGCCTTGCCGATCCCCGATTAACCTTGATTTCAGACCCTCGACCTAAGTTGTTCGCCACCGGCCGAATGGACATACTGTGATGGAAGGTGTGGCTCCGGGGATCAAGCAGTAGATGCGGAAAATGCGATCGATAACGCTAGGGCGGATATTGAGGAGGCAGTAAGTCGAAATCACACGTTGCGCAAAACTATCACGTCTAGGTAAACTCTGCCTATAATGGGCTCGGCCTTTGGCCTGCACGCAAAATCGATATTACTTATGATCCAAAATCGATCAATATCGATCGAGGCGGGATCAATAGAGGGCCGATACTGTACGTTCCGAAATTGCTGAACGGGACGCTTACGCGAGCTAATTATGAAGTACAGGTATGACCACGAAATCATAAATCTTGGTTTCTATTTATAAAACAACTCCATTCAATATAGCGCATTTTGTGTTACGACAATACGCTTAAGGACGTTCTAAGCCTCATTACGGTGACCTCAAACTTCCAACAAGTCTCTAGCCCGCTCCAAAAAAACCACACTGACGTCAATTTATCCACTTGCTACATCAGACGAGCAGGGGCTCTGTTTACTCGTAATCTCACCTCTAGAGTTATCGATCTTTGGCTTGCTTTTAATCAAAACTATCGCACATTCCAGATAACCGTCGAGATCTCCCCAATTTTGTCCGGATTTCACAAGAAGCAAGTGTCCAGCCTCGTTCTCCGCCAATTGACGCTCAAGAAAAACGCGAAGTTTAGGGAATTGATTGCGTTTTATTAATAAATTGCTGGAACTGTAGCATATTAAGCAATTATAAAAGCTTGGGGTCAGACAGTCCAGACTTTCTGGCCGATCGAGGGCCCTTGGAGGCGTTCACCCCTAAATATTTGCGCACAATTTCGAGGATTTTTGTGGGGTTGTGACAAGAACGATCGGGGTCCCCGGTTCATTTTTGAAGTGTTTCAAAATGGGCAGATTCTATGCATTAATTTGGTTAGAACATTTCTGTATTTTTATGTGTTTTTTTGTGTTGTTCAGAACGTACTAAAAGTTCATGAAACCCATAGCGAACAATTTTTTTTTTGCTAAAATATTGCAGATAGGAACCAATATAAGCGCCCGATAAATCAATATTTAGATTTTGGGGGGAAAAGTAGAAGATGATACCTATCCTTCCAACCGGTCAAAAACGCGCAAACCCGTTCTGTCTGATGCTCTTGTGACCGACAGTCCATCCCCCCAAAATCCCATGTCATCCCTCCCCTTTTTATCTCTAGCTTCTCGTCGTCGGGTTTTGTCGGATCGGCCCTCCTTGAAGCCTTTGGATTGTTGACAGAGCCCAGGTCCCTCGTGTCCATTATGACTCGAAAGAGATGCGAGCCCCGCCGAGGTTGCGGTCACATTTTTTTTGCAATGGGAAAATGTTTTGCGCGAAGATCTCTGCTCCTTAATTTTGGAATTTGCTGTTCCCTCATTGCGGAATTGATTATTTGTTTTTTTCGCGGTCATAGCCGCATTCCTGATGAAACGTATTTTGCTAGCATTTCGCAAAACACCCAAGATTTCAGGAATACTTCATTCAAAGCCAGAACTGGCTCCAGAAAACGTCAAAAAGGATCAAAAACTGACTTGTTCGACTCATCAGCTACAATTCCCGAATTTACACATTTCGAAATTGCTACTATCGATTTCAATTTCGCAATTTGTATATGGGCAGTCGCTTCTCGAGAGAGGACGGCGCCGTCCAGGTTTGAGCCATCAATTTTCAATCATCAGCAAGCGTTTCCGTCTTAGGTGATCCTCCTTGGGCTTGAAAATGCGGGAAAATCATCGATATTGGGTCGCCTGACATATGATAGATTTCTGGAGCAGATTCCGACCAGTGGCTTTAATCACGGAAAGGTATGCCGAGTTAACAGATTTTTCTACATTTGTAAAACAACAAATGTAAAAATGTACCTGTTAGTCCTGTAAATTTCAGTTCCGCCTACAACGAGGGCCAGGGCGAGGGCACAAATTTTCAGTCTGGGATGCTAGCGGAAATGAAGCGGCTAGGTAAGTAGACATTCCCATTCCTTCGTTCGTTAAATTTCTCATTAGGGTTTCTTCATTTCTAGAAGCGCCTGGAATACCTACTTCAGATCTGCTGATGTCATCTTATTCGTCGTTGATTCAGCCGATACTCATAAATTTCACAAAGCGAAAGAATTGCTGCATTCTACTGTCAGGTTGCTCTAGTTTTCCATTTTCAGTTTTGAAATTTTTAGCGCTGCAGATTTTCCAAAAAACGCGATAGTTATGGTGCTAGCGAATAAACAGGATTTGATTGAAGCCAAGCAGCCAGAAGACTTATTTATGGTATGAAAAAATTACTTTTAAAAGCCAGATCTTTAGACGCTGCGTTTAAAAAGGCTAAAACGTGTCTGTATTCGTGGATGTTCAGCGAAAAATGGTGATGGGTTAGATGATATATTTACGCATTTATATTTGCTGTTGGATCATGGAAGGTAGGTCTTTTTCTAAAAATTTATAAATTTGATTTAGAAAACTACGACGATCCAGAACCCTCCAAGCTTTATGAAAAAAAACACTAAAAACTACAACTTGTACGGGCTGTATTCTCGGAATCTCGACTATCTCGGAAAAACAAACTGAATGCACGGGTCAATATGTATTTTATTCGGCTGTAATTATATAAATAAATGGTTGGTTATACAGATTTTATTTGGATCTGACATTTGACTCGATCTTGCGCGTGTGTTCTTGCAGCATTTCTTTTTCGAGGTCAGCAGTGCGCATGTTCTAAAACAAGTTTTTTTGTGTTAATGGAAACCGGCAATACCTTGTCAAATTGAACATAGTACAAATTGTTTTCTTCGGCCACCGTAGCCCCATCTATCTGAGGCATTACCGAGCCATCCCGCAGATCATGGTGGGTGCCAATGAGGTAGCCTGGAATAACGGAACGTTATATCTATTATCGCGTTCTAGTAAGCATGACAAAGTCCGAAAATGACAAAAAAGGAAAAATATCAATTTTTGCCGCATGAATAAGTTTTTATAAGTCTCTAGATTTTGGTCTTGCGCGGACAGGAGTTAGGGCTGCAAGCTAGACCGCTGTTTTCGACCTCTTCTGACTTCTCACAGGTTCATGGCTTTAACACGTCCATGTGGACGCGTGCGGTTCCGCTGCGTGTTGCTAGAGAACGTTAGAAACCACTAGAGGCCGTCAGTGAAGAATTAACGCGACACGCAACGCGTCCACACGCGCGGATCCTTGTCGTCGTTGAATCCATCGAGAAATTCGCAGGTAATAAGGTTTCATATACCTCAATCCTTCACTATGCTTTTTCCCAAAGAACCTAATCCCCCTTAAAATTTCAAAAGTCCGAGTCCCAAAACTGAGCACCCATCTCACCCCCTTAGTAGCCCGATTCGGACGACGGGTGAAAGGGCGAAAAACGAGTGTCCGTTCGTGTGTATGCGAGTGTGTGGGAGCGAAATGGGGGGAATCCTTCGTTTTTTCTAACCAACCCTCCCCCCTCGGGACGATCCAAGGCTGTTTTCGGCGCGGTGTTTTCTCTCTTTCTCTGCGCTCTCTCTTGCTCGCCTTGCAATGTGGTGGCTACATTGGGCCGGCTTGCCCCCTCCCTCATATACCTCTCACCTTCGAACTGAGCCGAGGACTGTTCCTTCCGATATAGGGCCCCGGATTTTTGTTATGGTTTTAATTATTATGGGATTTTTTTGTGTGGTAATTGGCTACCTGGGGCTCTTTTTCTTAATGTCTTAGAACTTGCTACGTTTAATATTCTAAAAACTCGGATTTTTGCACTTAATTTTGCTTTCCCATTCCCCTTAAAAGCTCTTAATGGTATGGGAGATTTGATGAAAATACGCCATGAAACTCTTTACAGTGACCCGGCTGGTCGTCGTCTTGCGGCGCCCTCTTACACTATTCTGAGTCATAACGACAAAATTTGCCCCCAGGGCTGTACTAGCTAGATCGGGGTGATTTTCCGGAAGTGCTTTATCCTGGCTTTGGCCAAAACTTTTGAAAAAATCGAGTTGTGCAAGAATACCGGCACACAAAATGCCGACATTTGTCCTGCTGACGGTCCGTAATGCGGACACTGATTAATCCCGCCTATTCCAAACATTTTCGGCCTTATAGCTAGGTTTGGGCTTAACTAATTTCGTTAGGACGTGCTGTCGGCATTTTTGTCTACCGATATTACCTACTGTCGGTATTTTTAGTGTCTTTATTACGAGAGCCTGTGCAAAAAAAAACGAGAAAACTAATAATTCAAACCCCAGCTTTCGTGTTCGCTTTTAACTTACAAGGAGACGTTTTTGAGTGTCGTCGGGACTTTGGCACGGGACCAAGCGTATCTTGTGCAGAATTTTACGCCGATTCCGAATATGTTAACCGTTTTTGCGGAATAGCCATTTCTCGAAAGTTATGAACGATTTAAACCTCAAAACAGCCCAAAATCGGCTACTTTCGATAGTCATAAAAGGCTTCGGAATGGGTTTTAGACAAAACCAGATAGTAAATCTTGTCCAGAAAAAAATTCTCCATAAAATGTGCCATCTTTTCCAAAATTATTGAAAGGTTGGGAAAATTTGATAAATTGGGAGATCCATAATTTTACAAAAATTTTCAAAATTTCAGAATTTTTGAGTTAAATTGCTTATTTTATATAGAGGTTTTTTCTGAACAAGATGCACTATCAAGTTTTGTCTAAAACCTATTCCGAAGCCTTTTATGACTATCGAAAGTAGCCGATTTTGGGCTGTTTTGAGGTTTAAATCGTTCATAACTTTCGAGAAATGGGCTCTTCCGCAAAAACGGTTAACATATTCGGAATCAGCGTAAAATTCTGCACAAGATAGGCTTGGTCCCATGCCAAAGTCCCGACGACACTCAAAAACGTCTCCTTGTTAGCTCTATTTTCCCGGTCACCGTAATCCAATACCGAAAATCCAGCACCTTGACAAGCAATCGGCCCATTCCCCCTATTTTAACTCTCGCTTTCCCCTTTCCCACCCCCTTTCACTTTGGATATCCGGGGCTCAAAATTTTCGCGAGGCGTCAATCCGGAATCGCGCGTTTTCACCCCCGCGATGGACGGGCGAGAGAGAGAGAGGGAGAGAGAGAGAGAGAGAGAGAGAGAGTGAGAGAGAGAGAGGGCGAGAGAGGGGCAGATGCAGGGAACTAGCAAGCGATGAGCACGCGCGAAAATGGGGTGAAACGGTCGTGTCCATTGGGGGGCAAGCCGGTGCGATGGTGAGGAGGAGCATGTTCTCGTCCACCCCCGATCCATCCCCCCCCCCCCCCAACTTTCGATTTTTCGCCCCGGAGCTCTGCCCCCACAAACGGATCGTCGAGGAGGATGTGCCAAATTTCTCGATTTCCCCCCGGCCGTCCGGTCCAACCAAACACACCAATCTGGCTACGGCGATAACCGGGTTTTTCTTTTTCGCCTTTTCAGATGGTGCTGATTTTCGAACGTGCTTTTTCCTTTTTATGCTCATGGAAAAATTTGACTGTGTGGATTTTGTTAATTATGCTGTATTTCGCCCCTTTAGTCCTCGAAACGCTATGGTAGCAATTTTAATAAAAAAAGAATTAATCTTTGGTCAATTTAAAAATCAACAAAGGCCTTTGCATTGAAAGTTTTATGATAAATCCTTTTTTTTGGCGATCTTCAAATCTGGCAAGCAAAAAAGTACGCTACAAAAACTAAGTGCAATTTGTTTAATTAGCCGACTCAAATTAATTTTGGATAACCGAACGAAACGTACCCAAACGCTTCTAGTTTTTTTTGTAAGAATCGGGACCTTTTCTTTCCACTAAACTCAGTATAAAATACATTAATACATTAATTCTACTACTAATTTACTCCATTTGACTCACCGACTTCTTTCCCCCGAATCGGCGCTGTTTTCTTAATGCATTCCATGACTAAGCGTAAACCATCCTGTCGGCTTGCGTCGAATACATAGCAAAAGGTCACGTTTTCGGTGCTCAATTTGGCTGAAAACACACAGTATGGCCAGCCGTTTTTCGCGCCTATCAAAATCCGCACGCTCTTACAAACCTGTCACGTATTCCATCACATCCAAACCAGGTGTATCGATGAGTAACATTGTTGCAAAGGTATCGTTACCCAGCTCTACCGGTTTGAGATGAATTGGCGCTGTTAGGGTCTAGAAGGAATTACGTAAGGTATTTTAAGTGCCTTAAACGCCTCGAAAAATTATAGCTGGGTCCATCGTAGCCTCACCATTTGATACTCTCGTTTAAAGGGCTGTCCAAGTAACGTCGCAATTACCGACGATTTTCCTTGAGCGAGGGGGCCTTAAAAGGCGAGTTTTGTGGGCTGCAGGATACCTTACCAAGGAATATATATGGTTGTAGAGTTGTATGAGATTTCATGCTTAAAACGGTCTCTAGCTTATCGTAATACAAATCAAAAACTTCTGATGTTTTACGCCCGATTTTGCGTTTGTTTGTTGCCCCGGAGACCGGCCGGTTGTTTCGCGACATATCACAAGAAAAAGGGTATAATTGGTTTTAGGGGAGCGTACTTTTGAAGCCCTATGCCTATAATTCCGTCGTATTACTCCCCTCGTCCTCGATTTAGAACTTTTACACTTGGTTTTATCATAGTTATCGTATTATGTGTTTAATTTCCTTACCGTATTCCTAAAAATCACTATTTTTTACGAATTCCTAGATCTTTTCTCGTCGCTTGAAGCCCTGCCAAATGCTCCACCCTACCTAAAATTGATAAAAGCGAGAAATGGCCGAAAGGGGGAGCGTGACCTTTCGCTGATAACATGGTGCCTTGCCCCCGGCTGCTTTTCCGCGTGTTCCCGTTTCCTAAATGCACTCTCCGGAACTCCGGTTTCAGGAACTCTGATTGATTTTCCACAAGCATTGGTTTTTATTCCAATTTTTGCACTTCCACCTGAGAAATGGTCGAAAATCATGTGCCCTTCTTTGTTTGGCGCGAACCGGGGCAGCGGCAGGTCGTAAAATTCTTGCCAGTCGGCCCGGAATGGACCGGAAGAGCCGGGGTGCATTATTGAATGTCTTAGAGAAATTTGGCGCTGATTTTCATGGAAATTTGTTCCACCATTTTTATTTATTAGTGACCTGGTTTTCTTACCTTTTATCCACTTATTCAAACGTTGAAAATCGTGGTTTTCTGTCATTTTCGATGTCGAATTTTTTGCATTTAAAATGCCCTGTTTTCAGTCTACGATTTGCTGATTTTTTTGCGA